GCGCCGAACGAGCGGTCGCTCGCGCGCGCCACACGCGCTTGTTTCACTTTTCCGCGAACGTAGCGCGAACAGAGGGGCTCGCGACCGATCCACCGACCGGGGGAAAGCGGACTATAAAGACGGTGGCACCTTGGGGGGAAGTATCCAGTAAAGTCTGGACTTCGACCAGATAACCAAGTGTCTGTGAAACATGAAATTTTTGGTAAGTAGCGGACGCTCTAGAATCGATGTTAAATAATATTCGACGTATCTTTTGCAAGCACGCGACCTTTCGACGCGACTGCTGCTGAAAGTTTCCAAGTTGAAATTCGATAAAGACAGAGGTAACTATTTCGTTTCAGATTCCTACGATAGTTCTCGGCCTACTGGCCGCGGCGTTCTGCGAGGAGACCGCGAAGAACACGGAGGCTCAAGAATCCAGCGTGGAAAAGAAGCAAGAGAAACGAGGGCTGAGCCATCTCGAGGGAGGCTTCGAAGGGGGTGACCTCGGCGGAGGGCACGAGATCGCTCTGTCGGGTGGAGACGGCGGTGGATACGGCGGAGACGACCTCGGCGGTGGTTACGCTGGAGGCTACGGCCACGAAGAAGGTGGCAAAGTGAAGGAAATCACGATCGTGAAGAGCGTGAAGATACCGTATCCGGTCGAGAAAAAGGTCCACTATCCAGTCGAGAAAGAGATACCATATCCAGTGAAGGTGCATGTACCGCAACCGTACCCAGTGGAAAAGAAGATCCCGGTTCCAGTAAAGGTTCTGGTTAAGGTACCGGTGCATATCCCGCAACCCTATCCAGTGGAGAAGAAGGTACCGTACCCTGTCCAAGTACCGGTGGAGAGACCAGTACCGTACAAGGTTTACGTGCCACAGCCGTACCCGGTGGAGAAGAAAGTACACTACCCCGTGAAGGTACCTGTACCGCAGCCGTTCCCTGTCGAGAAGCCTGTACCGTACCCCGTGAAAGTCGTGGAACACGTTCCTCAACCATTCCCTGTCGAGAAGCCTGTACCGTACCCCGTCAACGTGCCCGTTGAACGACCATATCCCGTTCACGTCCCCAAACCGTATCCAGTTCCGGTCGAGAAACACGTACCAGTGCCTGTCGAAAAGCATGTACCTTATCCAGTCAAGGTACCGGTGGAGCGACCAATCGGAGTACCAGTAGAGAAGCCAGTACCTGTCCATGTCAAGGTACCAGTACCAGCACCCTATCCAGTGGAGAAGCCAGTACCTGTGCCTGTTGAGAAGCCGGTACCGTACGCGGTGAAGATACCGGTGGAACGACCAGTGCCAGTTTCGGTGACGAAACCGGTACCAGTGCCTATCGCTAAACCTGTGCCTTATCCAGTCAAGGTCCCAGTACCTGTGGTGGTGCACAGTCACGGAGGAGGTTACAAGGAGTCTGGAGGACTGGATGGTGGCTACGAGTCCAGTTATGGGGAACATTAGAAGAATTAGGGTAGCCACTGGCACCTGGTAATATCATTTATACAATTTTGTCGCGTTGCATAACAATCTTTCCTTGTTTGGAAGTATTTTAGAATTTTTCGTTATTTTTCTTTCCGACGCGACGGGGGTATATTTATTACGTTTCTCGGAAAAGCATTTCGCTAGGTTGAAGAATGATTTGTAAAGAGAAGGAGTGACTGAAAGGTGACGCTTCCAGAGCGTTCTTCAACCAGTGATTCACTTAGATGGTAGTGATTTCGATATCTTTTGATACCTGAGTACCTAAGAATACACATATTGTATACGTGCGATGTACTGTACAAGGATTCATACATACAAGGTGTTTGCCGGCGACTGATTAAAGTTCTGCACGGATGGACGCCTCTGTACCATGTCTTTCGCTTTTTTATTAATAAAACCAAAGAATAAAAATTTCTTTCTATGGTTTATTTATTTATAATCCTTTGAGTTTATTTACTCCCAATTTATTTAATCCAAAAGTCTGACAACATTTGTTAAGGTCCTTTAATACGAGAATCCATCTTTAATATGAATTTTGAACCTTTAATAAGTAAACTAATTATTTCAAGAATTATCTTTAACATAAAGTTTTCTAATCAAACTTCTATGAAACCTAAACAAATTCTATAAAGACTTTAATATCAACTCAAAGATCTTCAACGTCCTCCTAGAATTTTTCATTCGCGAAAAAGAATCTGCTCCGAATCGAATCAAGGCCACGATCCAGCGATTACATTCTCGCTCGTTTCGTAACCGCCTTTTCCTCCCTAAGGAAAGCGGAACACACGATATCATCTTTGAATCGACTTTCGCGATGCGGCGGTAACGCAACGTTACATTCGTAACGAACGTTTCCCGGAAAAGTTGGAAAGTAACGAGCCGGTATGCAGCGACGATTGCTCGCGAGCACGTTAACGCGGAAGCGGCTCGATGATTAACGCAATAAAAAAAAAAAGAAAAAAAAAAACTGGCCAACAATTAGCCAGCCGGTGTAAGCCGAAGAAAGGGAAACTTTCATCGAACTCGTGTACGTACACGTAACGATGGAAGAGCCGAAAAGTTTGAATAAGCGTCTAGACAACATCACGTGTTACTCGACGAAGGATCGCCGACACGGAGAAAGCCTCTTTCTCTCGTTGCATCGATGATACCGCAAGACGAAACGCAGAAATCTTCGAGTTAAAAAAATAATCACAAGTGAAATCGTTCCCTATAGTCCTCTGCAGCTAGGGAGAAATCTAGCTGATGTCGATGAGCTTGAAGATCTCGTTGATAAAAGTTTCATCGCGCGTGAGGTATTCGAGGCTCTCAGAAAAGCCTCGTCGATCAATGGCTTCACGAATTGAAACGCAGAAGTTATATAAACAATGCTACGAACATTATTTCTTGAAAATTTGCCTTGAAATTCGTGATCGTGTATATGCTATTTCCATTTGAAATGTAACTAATATGTTGATTAACTAATAATACATAATAATAGAATGTTTAATATTCATTAATTATATGCAATAATATTAATAACATTAAATATGTTAAATGTCAATCATGTGTCTGAGTGACGAATATGGATTATAGAACTCGATGACTGGGTTTATTAGTATCTACTCTAAGAGATTACTAGCAATTCTATAATATTGTCAGTGTATTTGTATATTTCCTTGATTTAATATAAAATAATATGTCATAAAACGCCATTGTGTCTGAAATTTTAACTTTCGAGTATGGATTGTGGATTCCACGTGAAATCCAATCGCGATAAAGATTAGGACACCTATCTTTTATATTTATGGAAAAACTTTAATAAATTGTACGTTATAAATTCGGCAACTGAAAAATTAAAAGAAAATTCGAAAATTTGCACAAACGTAGATCCTAATAGTGGACTAATCTATTTTTTTTTTTTCTTCTTCAAAATGTTCCTAAATGTTACCTAAAATGGTCCCTTCAAAGAATTCTGAATATTTACAAAACAGTATGATAGAAAAAAATATATTCATATTTTCAAAAATTTCCGACAATATACTAAAACAATCATTCACCTGTAACATTCAAAGATTTCCCGAACCAAAGCGTGTATTGTCAACTTGACAGATTAAAGAAATTAAAGAAACGTAAGAATAGCAAATAAATCGTACAAATTTGTAAGAACAGTAAATTTCATTTTTCTCATTTCAATTTCTCGGTTGCCGAACTATAGAAATTTCGAATTAAAGAACTTACCGAATGTAAGGAATGTTCGCCGGGATGTGATACTTGGCACCAGGATCAAAGTCGTCCTCGGTCCTCAGAACAGGCGGCTTGATTCCAGCGTATTGTTCCATCAATCGATGCCAGTGACAGTTGTACTCTTCCCGGCTGATGTAACCACGGAAGACGTCCCACCGCCACCTGTCCATCGCGATACTAAACGGCAGCATCACTAATTTATCCATCGCCAGAGAGAACAGGTAATTTATATCCGCTGTAGGCTCGTCGATGTACTTGCTTCCCAAGCCAAGAGTTTGAAGGTGACGAGGAGTGCCTATGCTGAGGGCTACGGCTTCACCCACAGCCTCGTGGAATCCTGCACGAATAAACGAGCGTTTATTGCCTCTAGCCATCGGGGAAAGTGACAAGCAAATTGTCAACCAGTAAATCTCTTCTAGCCTCTTTCACTCTTCAAGCGTGAAAGAAGAGTTGCTTTTTATCGAATCGTGACTTCCTTACAGACTGGTAATTAGATTCTTGGCTCTGTGACTAGATACTTATCTTGCCTGGATTTTTGATTAAACGACGCGAAAGTGAAAACATAGTAGAAGATAGTCATATAAGTTGCCTCTCAAATTCTTATGCATTGAACATGGTATAAAAACTGAATTAAAATAAGAATTTTCGTAGGGTGTATCCAAATTTGAGATATATAGGTTTAGAAAAATATAAGATAGGTTACAATTTGTTTAATCAGACTTGCTTCATATCATAAGAATCTTTCGTGCAAGTGAGGGAAGATATCAAAGAATATATAATAAAATAGGATTATTCAGTATTTTAAAATTTAATCTTGAACTCATAAATAATCACACTAATTACTATGCAGAGTGTTTCAAGTTTAAACGATCAAACTTCACACCAGAAACGTTCCAAAGTAGAAATAACAAAGAAATATTGTATAAACGCTTTATGAAAAAAGTTATAACAAAAATATGAAACCTAAAGATAATAACGGATTCGTTATTGATACATCGTAGTGCAATGTGTTTAGGATTCTTTTAATCATGTTTGGAAATGTTTTCACACGACGATTCACTTGAACGCACGAAATTTAGACTTGATCTTCCCATGATGTCAAACTTCCATTCTGAACAGGAAACGGCAGTTTCGAAAACAAATCAAATTCTTTCACGTTTTTATAAAGCAGCGTGATAATAAAAACACTTCCTATGCTTATATAACATTTTTTTTTTTTCTTAATTTCAACTCGCGGAACATACTGGCGAAGTTTCGATCGTTTAAACCTGTATATTGCAAGACATCGAATAGTCTCGCACATTTAAGACTCCAAGCAATGGAAAACACAAAGAAATAATTCATCAACTGTCCGTGACCGTCAAAATTTTTCATAATATCTAACGGTTGTTCGAACTGGATTTTCCAACCCCCCCCCCCCGTGAGACGACTTGGCAAGGTCGCAATCATCGATCGAGATTTATTTCCATAGTATGTACTTCTACTTTGGCGACTGGGCGAACGACCGACCGGCGGAACGGTGAAAGCGCGATTATACCATAATAAAAATATTTTAACGATCTACGGCGAGTACGGATTGGAGAGTACTCGCACATCCACACACCGGACTACGGTGCTCGCACGAATCCACCTCGACCGTATCGTTCTCACTCTCGCTTTCGCGCTAATAGCCATAAAAGTCGCGCGCGAACCGCCTACCGGAAGTCGAGGAACCGACCAGGCTTACGTAACGGACTGCGTGTCGTCCGTCATGCCATCGCGTGTCGTTCCGTCGTTTCTCGTTCGTGAACCTAATGCTCGTTCTTGTACCTCCTCCTTGTGGTTTCGCGATTGTGTGCGCTAGTTGTTTGTTCTGCTCCGAGAGAAGAATGAAACGCTCGTATATTCGTTTAACAGCGCACGATTTCCGGGTGATCGGCGCTCTATCGTCTGACGGATTTTTTTTGTGAAAGCCGAGAAATTCACGCCTCTTTTTGTCATTTATTTTTGATAGTTCACGAGAAGTTTTTTTTCTTTTTTGTAATACCAATTCTGCTTCTCCAGGAAGGAAATAATCCGTACGTTTGAAAGGAAGTGGTCGATTGATATTCGGACAAACTGGTTGGAGAGATCATTGTTGCATATTTTTGTTTATAACAGCCTTATCAAATTAATTGCTTCTAGTTAACATAAATTTTATTTGTTTCATTTTATTGATAGCTTTTTGCATAAGAAAAAGAATTAAATCAAGTTCATACTAATTCTGTATATCTTAGACACATTTCGTGTGTGTGTATATATATATAT